GCCTCAGAGAGGAATTGGAAAAGACCTGGAAGGTGAAGACCACAGTGGTGCCTGTGCAGTCACCCCCAAACTGGAGCAGTGGCTAAAACATATCCCAGGAACAACATCAGACATCTCAGTCCAGAAATGTGCAGTTCTAGGCACAGCTAAGATACTGCGCAGAACCCTCAAGCTCCCAGGCCTCTGGTAGAGGACCCGAGCTCAGAGGATGAAAGAGACCACCCGCGGAGGGTGAGAAGGCAATATATATAAACCTACATATCCACAACATTAGAAAAACAATAAAAAGCACATAAAAAGCACAATGAGTATTAGTTGTAAATGTGAAACTAAATTAAAAGAAAGTTAACCAACATTATTGCACATTGTTCAAATAATGCACATTCTGTATATTGAGGTAAATGGATTATGCTGGTATTGCCCGTGAAAAGGTTAAATAGACTTTTTTGAGCTTTMTATTATGTTATAATGTCCTTGTCTGATCAAAACCACACCCAGGGTGTTGTTTTGACTCATTCATACATGTTTTAAATACATATTAACCCCCTCTTTAAGCATGATTATTTACTTAACCACAATATTTCAGGGTTATTGCTCCACTATTTGCCTCCCCATCAAATAAACGCTGACACACATGTCCCAAGCTAAAAAGAAGAAAATATCATTGGAAACATTTCCTCACACATTTGTTGCCATACTATATTTGACATCATAACATTCAGTTTGAATTTGAAAGCCTGTAATTTGCACTARTTAAAGTTTATTTATATAGCATTGTTAAAAATAAACAAACAAAGCAGTACTTATCCATACACTATAATAATTTTCTTATTTGTACAAAACAGTGGTTGAACAAAAGCTTTCAATTTTCAGAAAACTGGTTCTAAAATATTTCTTAATTTGTTATTTAAAAACTTTACCCATGATTTGACTTTTCAGCCTTTTTCACAAATTCAGGTCACAAGCGTCTGTGGTGTATGGAAAATGACTGACCCCCTCTACTGAGTTTCACCTTCCCATAGCTAATAAGATGACAGCACACTTCTCATGCCTCACCAATCTTATTCCCTCATTTTCAAACAGGTCTCTGATGTCTGAACTCAATTAAAAAAAAGGTATTTAAATGCATAATATCTGAGTGGTTACCATGTCTGTGAGCAGCCTCTGGAATGGGGGAGTGAAAATATACTGACAGGCAATTAGAAGTAAAACCATTATGTGAGCTATTATTCTTTTTGGTTTTCATCACTTTTGCTGTCTTTGTTTGTTTTACACCGATTTGTTGCTGTGTTCAGCATTCCATGACCAGCTCGGGTTGATTGCAAACAGTTTCATTATGTTACAATTGTCTGATAACTAAAAAAATATATATATTTGGGCTCCCTTGGTTTAAGAAGATCRTATTTAACGTTTAAAACTGCAATGGAAATATCATGCCACACAACAGTTTAGAGCAAAAGAATATATCCTCTTTGTCTTCATCTTCTCCCAGATTTAACTTGAACTCATTCTGCATTCACCATGCCTCAGAAGTTGGAACTATAAACTTTTTAACTGCCTTATAACATCAGAAGTGATCTATTTCATAAGGTTTTATCTATTCTCTAAAGACATATATAATGTAACACATCCTAAAACACTTTACACTGAGTTCTTCTTGTTTTATTGTATTATGTGCCTCTATTAACAAAATATGAATGGGGCTTAAATTTCTTTTTCAATTCAGCACTCGATAATTCTGCACAGGTAGTGAGAAGCAAGCATATTTCACAGAAACATAACAAGGAGATGGTTAAGAATCACTTCAGCAGTCACAAACTACAGCCATTTTGCTTTGTCTCTTTTGTTTCCTCAAAACCTATTCTTTGCATACCTTAGCAGGTATTAAAAGTCCTGTTTTCTACTGCAAATAGTCTATGCCCATATTTCTTGAACAGAATGGTGTATTTATCATTGAATATTTATCTCCTTGCAAAGGCAGCAGCAAAAYAGCAAGAATACACAGCTTTATTGGCAATTAAGGGCAACATTTTGCATTAATCAGTGATTAACTAATTAAGCTTTTGCAGTAAATGTCAAAGACAGCAATGTTTTCATTGCAATCCTACACTCTATGTTGTTATGGTAGGCTGTGGGTGGGAAGCAGCTGGCTGTGTGGGATGACTGTGCTCTGAATGCTGTCATTACCATAAATATCAAATGATGCATCTCGTGTACTCAGCAAACATAGTGTTTTTGAAGGCAGTGAGAATAAAGTCTTTAGAACACAGAGTATATATATATATA